TCAAAAAAAAAAAAAAAAAAAAAAAAAAGCTGGGCATGGTGGCTCAGGCCGGTATTCCCATCACTCCAGGATACTGAGGCAGGAGGATGGCAGATTGAGCCTACCCTGGAAAAAACAGTGACTTAGCAAGACTCTGTCTCAAAATAAAAAATTTAAAAGGTCTGGGGATGAAGCACAGTGCAAAGATCTCAGGTTAAAAACCCCAATACTAAGAAAAAGAAAAAAAAAGGGTAAATCTGTAAGGACTGACCCCCACAGACAATGGGGAGATTTGAAAATTTATTTTTGTAAGTTAAAATGGTAAATAATTTTAGGAAATAGAAATCAATATCTATTTCAGTTATGCCAATGGAACAGAATCTAGATTTCTGTAACCAGCTACTATTGCTATTTTTAATTTCTATCTCATTAAAGCTGAATATTGATTTTTTTAAGTGGGGCAATTTGACATTTTCCCCACATGCAGATCTCTGCACATAGGATAAAGACACATTCAAACTGCACAGCTCGTGAGAGTCAAATAAATAAATGCATTTGAAAAATGACTGTATTTATAAAACTGGCCTCTGACAGTGGGGTTCAAGATAATAGGGGCGATTTCTAGGTGTACATTTGGAGTGATCCACAAATACATGCAGCAGTCTAGATGGAGAGTTTGGTTAGAGACCCAGGATATGATCAGGTTTATCTTATTGATGTTGAACTTCATTTTCTAGTTGGGTTTTCGCTGTGGGCTCAGATTCATGGAGAGTCTTGGGGGAAGGGAGAATTCTTTCAGTTAACCCGATATGAAGATCTGCAATGCACTCATCATCTTAATGAACAGTCATCTGCTGATCCTGGACCTCCTCCTCAGCAGAGGCCTGGGCACATGTCCCTCAGTTGTGGCTATTCAGGGAGCAGATGGTAAGAGGGTTTGTATTTGTCCCTTCATTTGGGAGGCAAGGGGAAAAGATAGGCCTGAGTGCATCTTGGAAAGAAACTGGAGGAAAACTGTAGATGAGGGACTTGTCTGTCACATTGTAAAATGCTATATGTCCACATTCATAGTCCAAGAAGACGCCAACCTTATGCACAGGCTCTTGGACATGCTGCCCTTTCAGAGGTGATGAGACCCACAGACTATAATCCTCTCCAATTTTTAACCCTATAAGTGAGAAGAGGTCCCCAGGGGGTTTGGGAAGATTCCCTTTTCTGCTCACAGAGTCCTTACAGATGCCCACTTCCACTCTGTCTTGTTTCCCACTTCCACTTCCCAATAGTGTCTCCCACTGGTGAAGATCTGAGCTCCCAACACAGTTGCGGACTGGTCAAATCTTTCTGGGTTGTCAGGTAACTGCTGTCTGCTTCCTCCATATCTCACACTTTTCAGATCCTGAGTCAAGACTAGATACGCGTTGGCTGTGTCTGGATCCAGAGTGATCTCTGCTGCAAAAGGAGAAAAGCGTGAATCCTCTTTATATACTCTT